AAGCAATCTCAGTCCATTGATAACGTTGAAATATTTGCAATAGCGTTTGTGCTTGGCTGCAAAACGGCAGATATGACTTTTCAAAAAGGAAATCAACAACGAATCAAAATGAACTAACTTTGTGGAGCTATATGTCGAAGACATGACCGTGGGATATTCAAAAGCATTTAAAAGATCAGAAGAAAACGTGGGCGCATAAACCACAAGTGGAAAATTGAAGTATTTGCCCACAGTTCCAGAGATAAGAGCAGCTATAAAACTACTAACAACTGTTGTTATTTGAACGTTCTTAAGATACTCACAAGCAGAACAAGCTGGTCCTAAAACCACATCTGCACCCGACTGCGCCCAAGCAATCACCGCACCAGCATCCGTTGATTCCACACATTCACCCATCACCCATGTCAGGCTGAAATTTTGTTGATAACAAGATGTCAATCTACTCGCTGAGACTTAACTCAAGACATTTCCTGCTTCTTCGTTTCAAAGTTTCAATCAGAAAAACAAACAAAAAAGCAAGAAGCCCACTTCACTAAGAAGAATGAGTCTTCTCAGTATAATCCTTGGATTTAGCTAGAAAATTACATAACAATCAATGAAAACATGTAAAATCTTATCAGAATTTTCAACATCTGTCTAGGAGAAGGACAGCCAGGAACTGGCCAGATTCTCTTGGTTGGCAACATTGATTTTTATTGCACAAGCTATATTTATAATACCAGTTCGCTCAATTCAAAATAGTGCATAAAACTAGATCGGAATATTTCAAATAGTACATTAGAAGATTCGAACGAATTAATTTTATATGAGATCCAAACTGGTTGGCCAGAATCAATTTTTTTCTTGAACTTCAAATGAAATTTATATGCAAGATTATGTTGGCTTTTTAGAATAGAGGTCAAAAAAGATTTAACTAGATTTTTACACCTTACAGTGATTCTAACACAAAGCAGTGCTACATTAATTCATGACTGATTGCGGTGCCCAGAAATCGAAACGAAAATGCGG